AAGTTACCAGTCATCATATGATACTTACGAAGTTGCGATTGACTTATTCAAGCAAAGATAAAATAATGAACTAGTAATCATCAGCTCACATATCATAGCCCTTTTGGATATCCCAAATATTCAAAAAGGAACCTCTCCGCTTCTGCGAGATTTTGTTACTCAAATTAAACAACATTACATAATTCCTTGAAAAATCTCAAGGTCCCAGCTGAACATTGGGATCACATTTTGATTTATATTTTCTCGAATAAACTGGAGTTTCAGACTCACAGAACTTATGAATTGGAAAAATTCACTTTTTACACTCCCAATTTGAAATCATTTTTCGATTTCATAAAAAAGAAGTCTTGCTCTAAAATCAATCTCATTTTCTGAAAATAAATATAAATCTGGATCGGTTAGATTAACACATGTCATGACATATTTTATGACTGCAGTCATGATCAAAATCAGATGTGTTCCAAAACAATTCTCGGTATATGGAAATTCATCTTCAACTTACCCTCAAATGAATAATTGAAAATGTTTATTCTGTAGCTCAACCAATCACAACATCTAGAAATGTTTCAAGTTTATACGCAACTTCCAGTTTCATAAAGGCGGCAGTTAATTTCCAAAAATAAATTGTGTATTAACTGCTCAAAACATGCATGCACACAGTTAATAATTGCACATCTACATCAGGATGTAGATTCTGTTCAGACAAACATTAAAGATCGTTGTTTTTTATTTATCAGAGGAAGCTAAAAACGTAGAAAAAAATATGTTTGTGATATACGTCACTACGTGAGATCATATTTGTCAATAAGGCCTTAGATACGTCATGAATATAAAGTGTATTCAAATGAATATCAGATCCAAATATTCATCTTTATTGATAAAGAACACATAAATTAATTCGACATGTACAATACCTTACAATACCCCTCTCATCAGTACCTTCAGACGTCACCCAAGATATATTAATTTTCGCGGCAAACCGGATTATGAGATACGTAACAATTGAAATTTTCAACTAATAATAAAAATACATCTCACGTATACTGACGTAACTCCCATAGCTAGGTCACTTCGTGAGATTTGGTATATTCCAATAATTTGAGATAGGCTGAGTATTCGATATTTAATTACACAAAAAACAATGAACATTGAGCTAACGCCACTTTTTGAGATCATATGAGTATAAGAATATAAGTCATTTGACGAGGTATCTCAAATTCCGATTTTTATGGGATCCGTCATTACGTGAGATGACCCACGAGGTGTTAGGTATATAGGTATCTCATGGAATATCATATCTACCCAACTAAACGACAAATCCTTTCAATAATCGCACAAATGTTCGATCCTTTAGGATTCGTAGGCCCCGTAATTCTTGTTGGAAAAATTCTGATGCAGAAAATATGGGCTAAGAAAATTGAATGGTATGAAACTCTTCCTACTGAATTGAATGACGAATGGTGTAAATATATTAGGAATTTCGATACTTTCTTTCTCTGGTGCTTGTCTTGCTGCCTATGGAGCATGTATTTACATAAAAGCAGTTTATATAAATGATAAAGTTTCATCGACGTTGATATGTTCAAAAACTCAAAAAGTCGAGTTGCGCCACTCAAAATTTTGACTGTGCCAAGATTATAACTCGCAGGAGCACTTCTATACTCGCCAAACTAATCCATAAAATTCGCTCTATATATTCACTTGAATTCTCAAATATAATTTTATGGTCAGATTCAACAATTGCTTTGAATAGGATAGGATATGCTGGCCTATAATTATTTGTAGCGTATATATAGGGTATCAGAAATTCAAGAACTGACTCTCAACTGTAAATGGCGTTACATTTTTCCCAAAGTAAATCCTGCAGATGATATTTCTCGCGGTCTTGATCTATATGTGTATATCAAATCTCTATTGTAGATCCCAAGATAGGGACACTATAACAATAAAAAAATATATTGAAAAAGAATGGGACAAAAATAATAATCAACTAAATAATACCTATATATAAGATATTAAAATGATAATATAACATCTTTATATTTATATAAGTATATATAGAGAGAGAGAAGCAGAAGAGTTATAAGTTGATACATTGTTAATTTGAATATATTATGATAGTCAAATTTGATTTCGGTAGCTGATGTGAGGAAGTTACTCGATTTAATTCATTTTAGTTTGATAATAAATATTTTTTCATATTCTTTATGAACCGGATAGATATACTTAACCTCTTTCATCTTCTTTATTCTTTTGGGGAGAAAATTATAAACCTTTGATGCCATTATGATAGATGAATTTTTGAATCATCCTAGACTGAAATCTACTTGTTATTAATCTATGTAATTGCATAGTATTGTGATTATGAAGTGACTGAGTGTCTTGTAAGTCTATATCAGATATTTTCATTTTATTCATAATATGCATCATGCGATTCATGCGTATAGCTATTAGCATCAGCATTCTTCTGGTTCATGAAATTAAAATACACAATTAATTTTCACCGCAGATTTAATCAACATTCTCTAAGTACCCGCGGTGAACAACTATATAAGAACGACTGTCATATCTATCATTCTTCCAACTTTGATACTTAATATCTTTCGTTGGCGAAAAGCTATCATGTTGCGGTTTCCGTTGGTCTGTTGAGATTTAGTTTCTCTATTACATCGTGTAATGATATGCATACCATTAGATTTATTCTATCTCAAACTTGTATCATTATTCGTTGCTGAGATATGGCGGACAGCCGTTCTTAGTTGTTCACCCTGTACATAATATATACCTACCTATATCACAGTATAAAAACATAAAAAGCCGAGATGATGTCACTACTTATATAAAAATGAGAACCTTTCTTTTCAATATTTTGGTCTGGTAAAACTTGCACCAGTGACACCGAACATACATAATACAAGTAAACTTATACACTAACATAGGTACTTTAGTATTCCGCCTGAGTAAACATATATATACTTGAACTTGCATCCATGCACATCAGTTTCCCAAAGATGAAGCTCCCTAGTTTTTGCACGTGTTTCACACAGCATCAGTCGATAATGATCAATTATTTTGTGCATGAAAGGAGTTGAAGGCGTCTTCATTATTTTGTTCTTTGCGATCGACTGCTAATAGTCGGTACTATACAGGGTGTTTCTTAAGTACGTGTAGAAAATTCAGGAGCATGTTGCTGCATGACGTAAAAATAAGAAGAAAAGTTCGTATAAATATATGTCCGATAGTTATTCGTTTCTGAGATACAGAATATCAAAGTTGGATTCTTATTTTTGTTTTTTGTTAATAAATTTCAAAATAATTGTGATATTCGAATGGAGTTTGGTTTCAAGGGGTATTTTCCAATGACAATATCAAAGTTTCTAAATAGTTTATCTCTTTCGTAGGGGTGGCGCCAACTATATATACATGTCTTTTGAGTCTTTTGAAAAGTCATATAACTTTTTCGTGCGTAATATACCTGTATCACATTTTATAGTAGAAAAATAGATTTCAAGAACAATTTTGTGTAAAAATATATTCCTGGTGATAAAGGTCGCTAAGAGCAACTGTTTTCGAGTTATTGGGATTTGAAATAATCGATGCATTTGAAATATTTCAATGGGGCTCGAAAGTCGCCTCTTAGAAGTAAATATCAGAAAATATACGCCATAGTGCATTTTTCTTCTTTCATTCAATATTCTCCTATACAGATGGATTATGGCAGAGGAGCTGAAGTTCCAAATCAGTTCTGGCCTCCGAGGTCCCCAGATTTTGATTCGTTTCCATACAGTTATGGTTTCCTCACTTTTATCCACTTGAAGACACTTCCTTGGGTAATTTTCTCCGGTAATTTTTGATTTCAGAAAAAGGTTGTAACTTCATCACTTGATTTTTACGAAGTCATGGCTGGATCGATTTTTTGCACTCAAATGAAATATACTTATTCCTATATACTTCCTATACTGTTGATTAATACCTATAGTGTTTGTTGTCCATGAATGAAATAATCCTAAATATGTATAACAAAAATGTGACAAGTAATAATAAAATTGACGACGATATGACATATTTCAGAATGAAAGCATATAGAGAGGTGCATCAACATAATTTTCAACTGATCAGAGCTGGAGTTCACAAAATTTCAATTTTTTTTCTGAATAACTTCTATATTAGTGAGCTGGAGTAGACTTTACTACAATCAAATTTCATCAGAATAAAACCATTCGAGTAATAAAACTTTAATAATGTTGCTTCTACATATGGGTAGAAGTTTTCAGGTTGACAACTTAATGGAGCGAAGTAAGAAGTAACCCATTCGAAGCCCGTGTCCGAGGGTCCTATATATATAGGAATGAGCGACGCGGACTCAAATGACGGTGGATTTGTTCTGAACATCCTGCGCAGAACCCACTAACCTATCAATATATAATATATATATGCATCTCGTAAATCTCGTTTATGAAAACTATTACAAATAAGGGTTATCGAGAATGCAATGTAAATACTGTGATGAAATGAATGACTAGTAAACTACCTATATACTTACGAATATATAATAATACAACCTGAAATTAGGAGATTCACGTCCCTATACACATATATATTTCGCGTTCCGACGGTAATCGTTCAAACGCAAAGTGCTTATACGATACGTCAGAATGGACGTGGGAATACAAGGCAAATGTTAGGCCATCAAGTATCAATCTAAAATTTGTTTCGATTCAATCTCGTCGAAACAAGACATCAATCTATATATCTCGAAGTACTCATACACTGGCGAACACAATACTCTCCATGAAAAGTTAGTAAAATATAATTGACATGCACCGCATCTTTCTCATTTCACATTTACATGTCATAAATATAGGCAGAAACATGTCGAAAAAACCTTGGAATCGCAAACACTGATTCGCCTTCGAGCTTGGCTCCGCCCCTAAGACACGCCCCTCGGACTCTATGGCCCCGCCTCTGAGAGCCTTCCGACGATCAGATAGTCGTGAAGTCTCGTGGTGTGTGGATCGATAGACGAGTAGTCGAATGGTGATCTGTATGTGACTTTATGGTGATCTACCAAATTGGTTACGTTATCCGAAAAATGTGCGTGTGATGGCGTGAAAGCACGGAAATGGCGACTCTGGCAGGTAATCTGGTACCCCATCCCCATCACTTTCCGAGACCAACCATGGAAAGCACCGATGGTTCAGTGTCTATGGACTCCAGTGATAACTTCGATAAGGACTCGCTGAACATCGACGATGCCAGCTGCTGTAGTGACGATACCGTTTTGTCTGTCGGCAACGAGACGCCAGTATCAGACTGTAAGAGTGAGATTTTGTCGTTCAAAAATATCGAAAACCACCTAAACGCCATATCCCATATAACGAACAGCACCTTGGCTGCGGATGCCAGCACCGCCAGGAGCTCCTCTAGTCCTGTACATAGTTTATTTAGCCCATCTAGTACTAATTCTTCCTCGAATTTTCGACATCGGACTGCCGAAAACGTGAGCAGAAGTCCTGGCAGTACCAATTCTAGTTCGAGCACGCATAAAGACTTTTCTGATGACGAGGCGAATAACGCTCGTTTGAAGTTTTCAATCGATAACATATTGAAAGCTGATTTCGGTAGGCGAATCACGGATCCTATCAAAATCAGGAAGACCGTGCCAAAACGAGTGGTTCCCGAATGCAGGGAGGACAGTAGAGTTTCCGCGCCTATAGACTTGAGTAAAAATGAAGAGAAGGAGAAAAAAGAAGACAGTCAACCGATCCTATGGCCCGCCTGGGTGTATTGCACACGTTATAGCGATCGACCAAGTTCAGGTAGGTCACCTCATATTTTATTTACTTACATATTTTTTTGAGATAACGCATGAACACCGAGAGAAATATCTATATTAGCTGTTATACGAAACTGTATAACCTTCAAAAAATTTCTGAATTGAATAGGCGCAAGCATATTTCCCTTTTCATTGCATGTAATCAAGTCCATCACTTCAAAAAAATCATATAGCTGTGAAACAACACTTATATGAGAATGAAATGATGCTCATATATAATTTGCTTTCAATTTGATAGTCAATAAATGATTGGCATTTCAGTATTGGGTGATTAAATTTTTCTCCAGAAAAATTGAGTGGGTGGAAGATCGTCGAGAAATATTGAAGACATATCCACTTAGTATATATTCTCACCCCCAAGTAGAGTTTTTTATTGTAATAACAGGACATTGAAGTGTATCACAAGGGCGATATACTCAGTACACAACATATCAATTTGCCTACGATAAAAATGCTTCCAATTTGGAGTATTTGCTCTTCTTGTCACTACCTTGGACTTGACCTTGGATTAGTAGTTAACATATAGTTGCCAAAAATGTACACGGGGGCGTCAGTATATAAATAAGGGTTCATAGAACGAAAACGAAAAACCTTTATTTCTTCTGATGACTTGTTGGCTATAATTCTTGTAAATTTTGAAACAGCAAATAAAATTATACGAATCATATAAAAACATATACACCGTGTCCAAGATAAGGATACGAACGCAATACAATCTATCACCGATATAACTGTGTTAATCCAAGCTTTTGCCACTATTGTGAATAGGTATAGTGAGGTATATAGTTTGAAAATACAAAATTTTATCCAAATTGGAAGAATTTCCTATATAGGTAGATTACCGTGATTTATCGTGAAAAACACTATAACGCCCTGATGCAGTTCAACTTCCTGTAGTTCCTCAACAAATCCTATATATACTTGGAGGTATATAAACAAATATGTCCCTAAAATTTCTAGGAGAACTTTCAATACCACTTCAGTTTTTCGAGAAAAAATGATTACCCTGTAAGGAGGATTCACGAGCTGCTGCGGGCTAATGAGTTTTTACATATCAGGTATCCGTAGACGACTAACGATTCTGATGGAACAAGTGTTCATAAGTGAGTGCGAGATGACTAATTGTGGACCTCCATTAAGCTAGCAGAACCACTTTGAATCTTTCAATTTTTTCTTCGGCCATAATTTTAGGCTAATTTAAGGCTAATTTATTACCCTATTGCCGAATTTATTGCTCTTCGATTTATGTAAAAAAACGTGGGTTCTGCTAGCTTAACGTTAAGCTAGCAGAACCACTTCGTAAATAAAAGTTCAATCACAAAACTAATTATACAATAATTTAAGGCTAATTTTAGGCTCCAATCCTAGCCTATTGCCAATTTTTTCGCACATTGTTTTTTTAAAAAAATCATGGGTTTTGCTAGCTTAACCGTTAAGCTAGCAGAACCAAATCTGAAATAGAAGGAATATAGAAATATTGAGTACACCATAATTTAAGGCTAATTTTAGGCTCTTCGTCGAACCTATTATCGATTTTTTTGAAAATCATTTTCTGCAAAAAATTTCCCAAATCCAACATGAACATGACAAACCAGTAGCAAACCAAAAAAAACTTCAATCACAAACCTGATTATGCCATAATTTCAGACTGATTTAAGGCTCTGATCCTAGCCTATTGCCAATTTTTTCGCACACTGATTTAAAAAAAAAATCATGGGTTTCGCTAGCTGAACCGTTAAGCTAACATGTGAACATAACAAACCAATAGCAAACCAAACAAAGTTCAATCACAAAACTAATCATGCCATAATTTAGGGCTAATTTTAGGCTCTGATCCTAGCCTATTGCCAATTTTTTCGCACATTGTTTTTTAAAACAATCATGGGTTTTGCTAGCTTAACCGTTAAGCTAGCAGAACCAAATCTCAAATAGAAGGAATATGAGAATATTGAGTGCACCATAATTTAAGGCTAATTTTAGGCTCTTCGTTGAACCTATTATCGATTTTTTGAAAAATCATTTTCTGCAAAAAATTCCCAAATCCAACATGAACATGACAAACCAATAGCAAACCAAAAAAACTTCAATCACAAACCTAATTATGCCATAATTTCAGGCTAATTCAAGGCTCTGATCCAAGCTTATTGCGAATTTTTTCGCACACTGTTTTTTTTTAAATCATGGGTTTTGCTAGCTTAACCGTTAATCTAGCAGAACCAAATCTCAAATAGAAGGAATATAAGAATATTGAGTGCACCATAATTTAAGGCTAATTTTAGGCTCTTCGTTGAACCTATTATCGATTTTTTGGAAAATCATTTTCTGCAAAAAATTTCCCAAATCCAACATGAACATGACAAACCAGTAGCAAACCAAAAAAAACTTCAATCACAAACCTGATTGTGCCATAATTTCAGACTAATTTAAGGCTCTGATCCTAGCCTATTGCCAATTTTTTCGCACATTGTTTTTTAAAACAATCATGGGTTTTGCTAGCTTAACCGTTAAGCTAGCAGAACCAAATCTCAAATAGAAGGAATATAAGAATATTGAGTGCACCATAATTTAAGGCTAATTTTAGGCTCTTCGTTGAACCTATTATCGATTTTTTGAAAAATCATTTTCTGCAAAAAATTCCCAAATCCAACATGAACATGACAAACCAATAGCAAACCAAAAAAACTCCAATCACAAACCTAATCATGCCATAATTTCAGGCTAATTCAAGGCTCTGATCCTATAGCTTATTGCGAATTTTTTCGCACACTGTTTTTTTTTTTTTTAATCATGGGTTTTGCTAGCTTAACCGTTAAGCTAGCAGAACCAAATCTCAAATAGAAAGAATATAAGAATATTGAGTGCACCATAATTTAAGGCTAATTTTAGGCTCTTCGTTGAACCTATTATCGATTTTTTGGAAAATCATTTTCTTCAAAAAATTTACCAAATCCAACGTGACCATGACAAACCAATAGCAAACCAAAAAAAACTTCAATCACAAACCTAATTATGCCATAATTTCAGGCTTATTAAAGGCTCAGATCCTAGCCTAGTGCGAATTTTTTCGCACACTGTTTTTTTTTAAAAATCATGGGTTTTGCTATCTTAACCGTTAAGCTAGCAGAACCAAATCTCAAATAGAAGGAATATAAGAATATTGAGTGCACCATAATTTAAGGCTAATTTCAGGCCCTTCGTTGAACCTATTATCGATTTTTTGAAAAATCATTTTCTGCTAAAAATTCCCAAATCCAACATGAACATGACAAACCAATAGCAAAGCAAAAAAACTTCAATCACAAACCTAATCATGCCATAATTTCAGGCTAATTTAAGGCTCTGATCCTAGCTTATTGCGAATTTTTTCGCACACTGTTTTTTTAAAAAAATCATGGGTTTTGCTAGCTTAACCGTTAAGCTAGCAGAACCAAATCTCAAATAGAAGGAATATAAGAATATTGAGTGCATCATAATTTAAGGCTAATTTTAGGCTCTTCGTTGAACCTATTATCGATTTTTTGAAAAATCATTGTCTGCTAAAAATTCCCAAATCCAACATGAACATGACAAACCAATAGCAAAGCAAAAAAACTTCAATCACAAACCTAATTATGCCATAATTTCAGGCTAATTTGAGGCTCTGATCCTAGCCTATTGCGAATTTTTTCGCACACTGTTTTTTAAAAAAAATCATGGGTTTTGCTAGCTTAGCCGTTAAGCTAGCAGAACCAAATCTCAAATAGAAGGAATATAAGAATATTGAGTGCACCATAATTTAAGGCTAATTTAAGGCTCTTCATTGAACCTATTATCGATTTTTTTGTTAATTATTTCCTGCAAAAAAATTTTCAATTGCAACATGACAAATATTTTCTGAATATTTCCGAATCGCCATGTGATGAAATATTTCCTCGAATATTTCTGCATCTTACATAATAATATGCATCACATTGCATAATACATCGTAGTGGCTATATATGGAAAAAATGCAAAAAACTGGAAGTAGGTTTCCATCATCGTCTTCCTACTTTACGCGCATCTATGCTCTATGTTTAGTGAAAAGAATGTAGTTGATTTTTTTATGATGAGATAATCTCGGATATAATGATGGCTCAGTCAATTCTGTGAGAAATACGCTCATGATTCAAGATATTAGGTAGGTATGCAAGATATTATGTTGAAAATATACGTAGACTTTTCCATTATTGTTACCCTGTTTAAAAAAGCTTGTTTTTTGCAAATGACTGCGGATAAGCTCTAAGAATGAGTGTTTTGTTTAAGAACGTTTTGATACTCTTATAGTCTTGATGCAATTTCTTTAGATGAAAAAACCAAGGTTAGTAGGATATATAGGTATCAGTGATAAATATCCGGATATACAGGGTGTCCGGAGATAAAACCGACAAAACTCATGGGGTTATAGGGACTGTCGATATGATTGCAGAATGCCATAAACGAATGTCCAAAACCGCTTCGTTACTGAGATACAGAGTGATTTGTGGATTTTGACAAAAAATTCAATCCGCCATATCAAATACAGGGATTAACCGATTAGATTCAAATTCGGTACACGAATTACACTGAAAAGCATCAACAAGTAGCCTTTTGATCTAAACCAATATCAGGACCGTAATAATATTTTTTCCCTATGTTGAGTTATTGTTAGAATAACTCACCCTGTATAATAGTAACCAAAAATTTCACCTCAGATTCGAAATCTACGGTGAAAATTGTATAGGAATTTGTTAAAAAATCTTCTGGCACTATCTTAGATATTCCGTAATTAGTTATTATTTCAATTTTTTTCATTAAAAAATCAATTATTTTCGGATGATATACCACCAAAATTGGTAATATAATAAATATTTACGAAACCATAACATGAATGTCGTTATTTTCTTCAATCAGTTCATAAATCGAAGTGAAATGAAATATTTTCATAACCCGAAAAAACTGAAGAATAAATTCGTATCAGGACTAGAATGAGTTTTTTGTTTGTTTATGTTAGCTGACCTAGTACATCAATAGTTATCAATAATTTGATCGTAGATTCGAAATCTTAAGAAATCGTATAAGAACCTGTTGAAAAAGGATAAGAGTGAAGTTTTCGTAAGTTATATTCGCTCACTAATGAATTTGAATTTATGAAAATACTACACAAAGAACAATAACTGTTTGTAATGAACATAACAAAACCAATGAATTCGTAAAAAACTTTCACTACCCAGTATTACAGAACATTTTCGAAGTGGAGCCCTCCAGCATTAATACATTTTTGAGATCGTGCTACTAAATGATTCACTGACTTGCGAATTATTCGAGGGTTATTTCTAACACTAACATAGGCAGCAGTAATTTTCCATAATACAATTTCTCTTATTCAAATTTCTTCATTATGAACTTCTCACTTTAAACGACCTCATAAAAATTAATCTAGCTGAGTTAGATCAGGGGATAGCGGTGGCCAATTTACTGAACCTCCACGGCCAATCCAACTATTGGGGTAATGGGCATCGAGATGGTTTCTAACTGGAACCGTTCTGGAACTGAAAAGTGAGGTCTAGCACCATCATGCTGGAACCACATACCCCAGGTATTTACACCTTGCAATAGACATTTAGGTAAACATCACCAGTTAAAGCCCATACAAAAATAGAATATCTGCGTATTCCTCATTAGTGAGATGGAACGGCATCATAAAAACACTCTCAGAACTATAGTTTGATCCTAAAAACACTGAAATAATGAATGAACACCAATAAAACAACCGCTGATGACAGGTAAACAATGGTTTTCCATAATGAAATTCTGAATTCAACAACAAGCCTAGTATTCTTTATACACAAACATTATAAGGTACTGATACGGATTTATTATTCGAAAGTTCAGTCCGATCATTTTTCAACAAGTTTTTAAATTTTCTCAGTGCATTTCGAATCTGCGATCAGATCATTGTTATACTAGATCATCTATTCTTACAGGAATATAATCATAGACAACCTCATTCCAGTCCTGATACGAATTTATTTTTCAGTTTTTTCGGGCCATGAGAGTAATTTATTTCACTACGATTCACGAACTGATTGAAGAAAATAACTGAATTCATGTCATGGTTTCGTTAATATTTATTTCATTACCAATTTTGATGGTACTTTATCCGACAATAATTGATTTTTTAATGAAAAAAATTAAAATGATAATCAATTACGAAATAACTAAGATAGTGCCAGGAGATGTTTCAACAAATTCCTATACAATTTTCACCGTAGATTTCGAATCTGAGGTGAAATTTTTGGTTACTATTATACAGGGTGAGTTATTCAAACAATAACTCAACATAGCAAAAAAATATCATTCCGGTCCTGATATTGGTTTCGATCAAAGGGCTACTTGTTGATGCATTTCAGTGTAATTCGTGTACCAAATTTGAATCTAATCGGTTGATCCCTGTATTTGATATGGCGGATTGAATTTTTTGTCAAAATCCACAAATCACTCTGTATCTCAGTAACGAAGCGGTTTTGGACATTCGTTTATGGTATTCTGCAATCATATCGACAGTCCCTATAACCCCATGAGTTTTGTCGGTTTTATCTCCGGACACCCTGTAGATCTCGATAAATATCATGATATTTATGTGACGATATTTATCCTGATATATATTATGTATCGACATTTTTTTTTCTTAAATTTTATTGATCAGTATAAAACCTCGATCAGTATAAAAATATGGCCACGCTGGCGCTTCACCGGCAACAGCGAATTATGCTGCGGTGATTCCCCGTCTTTCCGAGACGTTGAAACCGAACGCAGTTCCGCATTATTATATTTTATTAATTTTATCATTGAGTATTCACACTTGCTAGTGGTCTCTTATTTTGGTGAACAGTTAAAGGCAAAAATATATGATGTATTCGTATTCATAAACTTGTATTTTTTACGAAATTTTTTACCAACATTTTACATTCCTATACATAAGAGCACTGAAATTTGTAATTGTGATTAGTAACTTCCATTGAATAGAATATAATTGTAATGAAAATGTATGTACCTACCTAAATTTCGGTACCTATAATGTGTTTCGTGATCGAACTTTTTTTGATTTGCTAATGTATTGTCATGTTCATGTTGGATCTCGGAAATTCTTTGCAGAAAATTATTTGAAAAAAATCGATGAAAGGTTCAATGAAGAGCCTAGAATTAGCCTTAAATTATGGTGTACTCAATATTCTTATATTTCTTCTATTTGAGATTTGGTTCTGCTAGCTTAACGGTTAAGCTAGCAAAACCCATGATTGTTTTTAAAAAACGAGTAAAAAACAATGTGCGAAAAAATTGGCAATAGGCTAGGATTAGAGCCTTGAATTAGCCTGAAATTATGGCATAATTAGGTTTGTGATTGAAGTTCTTTGGTTTGCTATTGGTTTGTCATGTTTATGTTGGATTTGGTAAATTTTTTGCAGAAAATGATTTTCCAAAAAATCGACAATAGGTTCAACGAAGAGCCTAAAATTAGCCTTGAATCATGGTGCACTCAATATTCTTATTTTCATTCTATTTGAGATTTGGTTCTGCTAGCTTAACGGTTAAGCTAGCAAAACCCATGTTTAAAAAAAAAACAGTGGGCGAAAAAATTCGCACTAGGCTAGGATCAGAGCCCCAAATTAGCCTGAAATTATGGCATAATTAGGTTTGTGATTGAAGTTCTTTTGGTTTGCTACTTATTGGTTTGTCATGTTCATGTTGGATTTGGTAAATTTTTTGAAGAATATGATTTTCCAAAAAATCGATAATAGGTTCAACGGAGAGCCTAAAATTAGCCTTAAATTATGGTGCACTCAATTTTCTTATATTCCTTCTATTTGAGATTTGGTTCTGCTAGCTTAACGGTTAAGCTAGCAAAACCCATGATTTTTAAAAAAAAACAGTGTGCGAAAAAATTCGCAATAAGCTAGGATCAGAGCCTTGAATTAGCCTGAAATTATGACATAATTAGGTTTGTGATTGAAGTTTTTTTGGTTTGCTATTAGTTTGTCATGTTCATGTTGGATTTGGGAATTTTTTGCAGAAAATGATTTTTCAAAAAATCGATAATAGGTTCAACGAAGAGCCTAAAATTAGCCTAAAATTATGGTGCACTCAATATGCTTATATTCCTTCTATTTGAGATTTGGTTCTGCTAGCTTAACGGTTAAGCTAGCAAAACCCATGATTTTTTTTAAAAAACAGTGTGCGAAAAAATTCGCAATAAGCTAGGATCAGAGCCTTGAATTAGCCTGAAATTATGACATAATTAGGTTTGTGATTGAAGTTTTTTTGGTTTGCTATTGGTTTGTCACGAGGTTTGTAATGTTCATGTTGGATTTGGGAATTTTTTGCAGAAAATGATTTTTCAAAAAATCGATAATAGGTTCAACGAAGAGCCTAAAATTAGCCTTAAATTATGGTGCACTCAATATTCTTATATTCCTTCTATTTGAGATTTGGTTCTGCTAGCTTAACGGTTAAGCTAGCAAAACCCATGATTTTTTTGAAAAAACAGTGTGCGAAAAAATTCGCACTAGGCTAGGATCAGAGCCTTAAATTAGCCTGAAATTATGGCATAATTAGGTTTGTGATTGAAGTTTTTTTGGTTTGCTATTGGTTTGTCATGTTCATGTTGGATTTGGTAAATTTTTTGAAGATAATGAATTTCCAAAAAATCGATAATAGGTTCAACGAAGAGCCTAATATCAGCCTTAAATTATGGTGCACTCAATATTCTTATATTCCTTCTATTTGAGATTTGGTTTTGCTAGCTTAACGGCGAGCTTAACGGTTGAGCTAGCAAAACCCATGATTTCTTTAAAAAAACAGTGTGCGAAAAAATTCGCAATAAGCTAGGATCAGAGCCTTGAATTAGCCTGAAATTATGACATAATTAGGTTTGTTATTGAAGTTTTTCTGGTTTGCTATTGGTTTGTCATGTTCATGTTGGATTTGGGAATTTTTTGCAGAAAATGATTTTTCAAAAAATCGATAATAGGTTCAACGAAGAGCCTAAAATTAGCCTTGAATCATGGTGCACTCAATATTCTTATTTTCATTCTATTTGAGATTTGGTTCTGCTAGCTTAACGGTTAAGCTAGCAAAACCCATGTTTTAAAAAAAAAAACAGTGGGCGAAAAAATTCGCACTAGGCTAGGATCAGAGCCTCAAATTAGCCTGAAATTATGGCATAATTAAGTTTGTGATTGAAGTTCTTTTGGTTTGCTACTTATTGGTTTGTCATGTTCATGTTGGATTTGGTAAATTTTTTGCAGAAAATGATTTTTCAAAAAATCGATAATAGGTTCAACGAAGAGCCTAAAATTAGCCTTAAATTATGGTGCACTCAATATTCTCATATTCCTTCTATTTGAGATTTGGTTCTGCTAGCTTAACGGTTAAGCTAGCAAAACCCATGATTGTTTTAAAAAACAATGTGCGAAAAAATTGACAATTGGCTAGGATCAGAGCCTAAAATTAGCCCTAAATTATGGCATGATTAGTTTTGTGATTGAACTTTGTTTGGTTTGCTATTGGTTTGTCATGTTCACATGGTAGCTTAATGGTTAAGCTAGCAAAACCCATGATTTTTTTTTCAATCAGTGTGCGAAAAAATTGGCAATTGGCTTGGATCAGAGCCTCAAATCAGTCTGAAATTATGGCATAATCAGGTTTGTGATTGAAGTTTTCTTTGGTTTGCTACTGGTTTGTCATGTTCATGTTGGATTTGGGAATTTTTTTGCAGAAAATGATTTGCAAAAAAATCGATTATAGGTTCAACGAAGAGCCTAAAATTAGCCTTAAATTATGGTGTACTCAATATTTTTATATTCCTTCTATTTGAGATTTGGTTCTGCTAGCTTAACGGTTAAGCTAGCAAAACCCATGATTTTTTTAAAAAAACAATGTGCGAAAAAATTGGCAATAGGCTAGGATTGGAGCCTAAAATTAGCCTTAAATTATGGCATATTTAGTTTTGTGATTGAACTTTTATTTACGAAGTGGTTCTGCTAGCTTAACGTTAAGCTAGCAGAACCCACGTTTTCTTACATAAATCGAAGAGCAATAAATTCGGCAATAGGGTAATAAATTAGCCTTAAATTAGCCTAAAATTATGGCCGAAGAAAAAATTGAAAAATTCGAAGTGGTTCTGCTAGCTTAATGGAGGTTAATTGTGGTAAACGAGTATGACAAAGATGGTTGATGATGAAGAAGGGATGGAACTTGAATGATACTTGTGTAACTGTGAAATGATATCTTTCAAGATTTAAATTATTACCTATCTTTCAAGTTCCAAATTTCAACTATATACAGGGTGTTTGGTTCACCGACGTATATCTGAAAGGGGGTGATATAGTTTAGAACATTTCGAACATATTTTACCATATATATATACTATTATACAAAGTGTTTCAGATTACGAGGTATATATCATCGTTCTTTCAAACATTTTATCTGATTGAATCTCTTTTTTCTTGAGAAGTTGAATACACATTTCATCG